GGGGCTACTGGCGATCTTCCTGCTGCCACGACGGTTCCCGACGAGGCGGCTCTCAATTTCAAGCTGCATGCTCCCTTGACGCCACAGACGCCTCCGCGGCTGGCGGAGATGGCCGGAAACACGGCAATAGGGCCGCAGATGCAGGATGTGAACATTCAGACGGATACGCCGGTCTGCAGCGAAGATGAGAGCATTCCGGCACCGTGTAATCTTCAGAAGCAACAAGAGGCAGCTGTAGACGCCCTTTCCAGTGCCCCCTCCCTTGTCCAGCCCTTGGAACTGACCAAGCCCAGTGAAAGTAGCCATACCCAGACGATACCGAACGAGTGCCATACCCAGACGGAACCCAGTGACATACCCAGTGCCAGCCAGGCGGAGTCCGCTGAGCAGACTCCCCCGGACAACCATGAAACGATTCCACCTGCCCAAGCTGTTGCCGAGGATCTGACCGGCTTGGAGCTGCTCTCCAACATCAGTACCAATAGCACGCCGCTGGTGCGGGTCAAGAAGGAGCCGGTGGAACATGTGGAGCCCCAGCTACCGCCGGAGGAAGAGACACCGCCATCTCCTCCACCCCCTGTTGTGCTGCAAATGAATCCTCCACCGCCCACCCCGGAGCCACTCGGAGGGCTTAAGTTGCTGTGCGCTTTAGCGGAGCAACGCATCCAGGAGGAGGTGGTACAGGGCAGCAGCCTCTTTACGACGCCCTCTTCAAGAACACCCACTCCCACGCCGCAGGCTCTGGCAGGAACTTCCTCGACGCCACCGGGACTGGAGCCGAAATCCTGCTTTGGCTTTGGACTTCAGCCGGGATCTGTCTTCCCTTCCTCCACGTCCTCCTTTCAGCTGCCATTGAGTTCGCCAGGGTTTCCCTCGATGCAGGGCATCGAGCTGCCCTCCACGTCCTCCGCATCCATCGCAGCAGGGGCTGTTGCCGACCTGACGCCCGTGAAGCGAAAGAAGCACAAACATTCCAAGTCCTCGGGCAGCGATAGTCGAAAGTCCGCGCGCTGCAGCAAGAAGAGCAAGAAGAAGCGGCGCCACAGCAGCAGTCGCCAGGAGAGGCAGCTGTCCGCGGACGAGGATGTGGACCTGCAGGACGAGCAACTGCAGGCGGAGCTGCGCAGCGCTCTCGGCTCCATAGATCCCAGCTATGCGCAGCGCTTCGGCCAGGAGGTATTCAGCATAATGGATAATAATATGCGAATGCAGTTGGCTGCCATCACGCGCCAGTACCGTAAAAAGAAGCGCAAGCTGGACGAGATTTCCAAGCACAAGAAGAAGAAGAAGTGCTCCAAGCAACAGCAGCAACAACTACTGCAACTGGCGGCAGTGCAGGCGCCGGTGCTCCCAGCCTCGACGCTGCAACAACCGCAACTGACGCTCGGGTCCACTTTGTCGAGCGTTCTTGGGTGAGTGGTGGAGATACTGGATTCATTAGTTCACTTAATTTAATATCCTTTATTACCTTTAGGACCTCATCTCCGCTGCGCGACTACAAGTTTCCCAAGTTCTCGAGCAGTAATCTTCAGGCCTCCAGCTTCCTGCGCTTTCCGGAGAAGACGCACTCGTTTCCCCCACCGCCGTCCCTGCAACAGCCCACGTCAGAGCCCAATCCCTTGCCAATTAGCAGCAGTTCGCCCAGTACCTCGTCGTTTGTACGCCTCGAGCCCAGTGCCCTGGATGCAGCGGCTTCTAATGCGCCAACTACCTCCTCTCTCACGACTCCATCAACCTCCGGGTCCCCATCATCGAAACAAGGGGGCTCTGCATCGCGCAAACAGCGAAAGCTGAAGGCAAGTGCCGCCGGCATCGGATCTGGAGAGCAGCCACCGTCCGCCCTGGAGGCGAAGCGAAGGGTGTGCGGTATTGATAGAGAGCTACAGCTGACCAGCGAGCACCTGTATCGGGACGAGACCCGTGTCCTCACCGACATGGGCGGCTTGTTCTATGCTGGTGTGATGAAACCACTGCGACCTCCAGATGTGTACTCCATAACACTGGATGGAGAGCGAGGCAACAAGTCGCACGTGATGTCGCGTGAGGATATACTCAAGGATACGGTGAGAAAGATACTAGTTTAGTAAAAAGAAAACCAGGTCAACCTGTTGAATTTCAGATTCTCGAAGTGGCGCCCAAGAGCGTTGATAGTGTTCCTGTCGGCACGCGATTGTGTGCCTATTGGAGCCAGCAATACCGATGCCTCTATCCGGGACGTGCCATCGAGTCGGAGCAGACCGAGGAAGGAGCGGCCAGTACGGGGAATCCAACCGCAGCAGCGCCTGACTTTGTGAGCGTGGAGTTTGATGACGGCGACAGCGGCAGGATCCGCTTACAGAACATCCGTCTGCTGCTCAGCGATTATCCCATAGCTGGTGGGTATCTCCTCCATTGTCACAATGTGGATGACCAACATGCATCGTCCATCCACTCCATCAATCCTATCACAAGTTTTTCGTGTGCGTTTCCATATTTAAGTGTTTCTTTATTTTCTCCCTGCTCCTTTCCAAACACCAACACTCCCAACCACCTAACCGGAACAGAGTACAACGATAATCCCCTCTACTCAGTAGGCAAGCAGAAGCGCGGGGCTCTGCGGAGCGGTGAGAATGGCATTGGCGGCTCCGTTCAGGAGCAATTGAGTGTGCCCGGCGGCGAAGACTCGCATAGCCACCACAGTCTGGGTATGAGCAGCGACAACACCACCTCGCTAGCCGCCACCATGGAGCTGTTTACGCAGCGCAGCGAAAAGAAGCGCCTGAAAAAAAGCCTCAAGAAAATGTCCAAGTCACAGAATGGTGCCAATCTTGCCACAGCCATCAATGGAGGATCAGATCCGGCTGTCAACGGCGATGGTGCGGTTGGGGAGGACGCAGCTCGCAAGCATCACAAGCACAAGAAGCGCAAAAAGCACAAGAAGCACCACCGCAAGAATGGCAGCGAGGAGCCGGAACAACAGGTGGCACAGCCAGATTTCTCAGCGACAGCTCAGGAAATGCCAGAGGTTCCTGCGGCGGAGTTGACTCCAACTACAGTACCGGTTGCTAATCGTGTCAAGATGGAGGTGAAGGTGAAAACGGAGCAGTTGGATATGGAGGAGGAAACCGCATCCAATCTTATGTCGGAAATATCCGATGAGGTAAGTAGATATGCCATCTGAAAGTGCTCCAGTTCGTACACAATTTATGGGATAAGATGCGGAAACAATAGATTTCTAAAGTCACCCCAATTTCGGGGTGTTATGTTTTCAAAAACCAATCTCAATATTTTTCCACAATTGCAATGGCTGAGTTTCGGAGGGTTTAAAGTAATTAAATTTTCATTTTTCACAGGCCAAGGGGGAGGATCTGGTTGAACATAACAACTCCAAGGGAAGCAGCAAAATAGCTGCCTTCCTGCCCGAGCGACAGCTCTGGGGTTGGTGTGGCACCGCCTACAGGAAGGCGGGCGTCAAGGGACGTGCCAGAAAGCAATTTTACAAAACAATCAAAAGGGGAAAGGAAACTATAACGGTACGTTCTTCGCAATTACATTCTTTCTGAAATGGTCCTTTAATGGCTCTTCAATTACTTTTTATTGTATCGCAAAAAAAACGAAATAAATTAGGTCGGGGACAGTGCAGTATTTCTGTCGACGGGCAGGCCAGATCGTCCGTATATCGGGCGAATAGAGTCCATGTGGGAGACGACCACGGGTAACAAGGTGGTGCGAGTGGCGTGGTTCTACCATCCGGAGGAGACAACCGGCTGTCCAAAGTTGAAATATCCGGTAAGCATATGGGATTATGGCGCTTTTCCGCATTTTTATAATAAATATAATTGCTTTTCTTAAGGGTGCTCTGTTTGAATCGCCGCACGAGGATGAGAACGATGTCCAGACCATTTCGCATCGGTGCGAAGTGCTGCAGTTCGGCAGCTACTTTGATAAATTCGGTGCCGATTCGAAGCAATATCAATCCATATACGATAACAATGATACATATTATTTAGCCGGGCACTATAACCCAAGGTTACAAGTGCTAAAACTACAAGACGATATTCCAACTCTCGAAGAGCTGCAGGATACAAATACTACTACTACAACAACTACTACCGAGGATTAAGCGAACCGTGAATAGGCGTGGTTAGGCATAGTGCATACAGATCTATATATATACAATATATATACATTATACATATATTTTACTAAACGAGAACGGTCGGAGCAGATATATATACCTATATGTATACAAATATTATTTCTATATATTTTAAACGTATTATGTATTTCGGAAACAAACAAACAAAAAAAATTAAAATGTAAAAAAAAATGGACAAGGAGCGTTATAACGAGAGAGAAAAAGGAACTAAGCAACAACCACTAAAATAATGTGTAGTTACGTGAAGCGCAAGCAATTTTATGTGTAATTTTGTAAAAAAAAAAATAAGAAAAATGAAAGAAAACTACAAATATGCGCGTTGATGACGACAAAGTTGATTCACTCAAAGTTCAGACAAACTTTACAAAAGAAATGTGTGCTTCTTATATCCCCTACTACCTTCAAACACAACACAACCAATCACCCCAAAACAACACAGTCCAGATTTTTAGAGCCACAGCTATAGCTACAGATATAGATACGGATACGATGGGATACACTTGTTGTTACTGTACGTGTATACCAGCATGTTTCAGATGAAATTTAAAACGTGTTTTAAAGATTTTAAGCAGGCAGAATGCAGCAACTACTACTATAAATGTAACAATTCAATGTGATAGCAAAACAAAACCAGATGTTGATGTGTACAGAGGACAGAATAAGTATAGATGATAATTAAGAGAGATCAAGAAAAGTGTATGTGTTGAATATTTACAGCTCGTTTATTCAAGAAGGACAGCAAAGTATAAAATCAAACCTATCTTTAATTATGTACATCAATAAACTTGCCGGATATATTGAAAATTCCAATTCTATTTTCTTCCTTTTCCAAAAATCTACTTCATTTTGGGAGTAACAAGGGATACCATGATTTCTATGTAATCTCCACTTATGCAATCCACAACAGTTAGTTACACAGTATAGATCACACTTCGTTTTTAACACAACACAATAGACGTTAGAATAATGTGGAAGGTTCAGGCTTTGGTGGTACATTTGCTGCTGCTCGGCTCCATACTGAGCATCTACTTCCAGTCCACTGTGCTATCGGGCCTGAATCGTGTGCCGGATCTGCGTGATTTGGGCCTGGAACCGCCTGCGGATCGGCTGGTTGTCTTCGTCTCCGATGGGTTGCGTGCGGCTTCCGTTTTTGAGGACAACTGCAGCAATGTGCCAGACTTGCAAAGCTTCTTTGAGGATTTTGTTGTCGTAGGCATCTCCAAAGCCTCATCCCCAACAGTCACCCGGCCGGGCCACATCGCCATGTTCGCCGGCTTCGTCGAGGATCCGGCTGCAGCCCTTACCAACTTTGGCTGGAATCCGACCAACTACGACACCGTTTTCAATCAGAGTCGCAACGCTTTCGGTTGGATGGACAAGGTGGTGGCCGACATATTCACCCAGCTGCCAAATGGCGGGAAACCGCTCCACTTTAAAACATTCACCAAAACTGACATATCCGGAAGGCTCAAGCACGATGAGTGGGTCTTTCAAGAAGTGAAAAAGTTTCTAACCGACGAGGCGAACGTTGCACCATTGCGGAAGGCCACTTCGGTGGTGTTCTTCGTATACCTGGCCGACATAGACTTTGCCGGACATGCTTTTAAGCCCACTTCTGATCGGTTTAGGGAAACACTGAACAATACTCAGCGGATAATCCGGAAGACCCACGATCTCTTCGAAAGGGCCTTCAGCGATGAGCGCACAGCATATATCCTTACTTCCGATCATGGGATGGAGGACGAGGGTACATATTTATACTTTGTTTTACTTACTAACATTAAAGATAATATATTTTTTTGTAGGAAAGCATGGCGGCGGTGGAAAAAATGAGATGGAAACACCCTTTATTCTTTGGGGATCTGGGGCTAGCCCTCTGGCCCCCAATGCTGTCAAAAACTTTACGGCCAACGAGGAGGGACTAGTTCTACCGCTTCACTACATCGACCAGATCCAACTGGCTCCACTAATGTCCGCCTTGATCGGTCTGGCGCCGCCAATGAATAACATGGCCTTGCTGCCCAGGGATTTCCTGAACGCCAGTGCAGAGTACAAGTTCCATGCCCTCCACCTTAATGTCCTGCAACTGCTGAATCAGGCCAAGATACTAATACGTCGGCACGAGGACAGTATTTTCTATAATTTTTTGCCAAAATTCGATGACCTGACCTCCCAAAAGATTGATGACTATACAGATGCTGTTAAAACGCTCCTGGTCGGGGGGCACATTGGAAAGGCCACAGTCTTGAGTCAGGTGACGGGGAAGCAGGCACAGAAGTGTATGGAATACTATCACAGCTATTATCATACTCCCTTGCTGGTGAGCACTACGTTATCCTACCTGGTGTGGTTCTACTGCCTGTTGGTGCAGCTTACTCGGGAATCCACTCAGCCAAGGTCGACCCGCCAAGGATATCTTACGTATCCGACTTTGATCATTAGCTTGGCAGGATTACTGGTTGTGCCAGCGATTGTGTTGCAAAATGTTCCCTACGTCACGGCCTTCTATTTGCTGCTGCCCTTGGGTCTCCTGGTGGTGGCCTTGGCGGAACGTCCTCTGGAAGGAGATTCGATTGCCTCGCCATTTCTTCATTTAATTGGAATCGTCTTGCCCGCCGGTCTGCTCGTCCTTATGGCGTTCCAAAATACCCATATTGGAATTCTATACGGGCTGATCACGATCTTTGGAAATGCCAAGGCTTTCTATCAACAATCCTGGAAGACCGTATCCTGGTTTCTTCTCGTAGTCTTGCTTACGGTTATCCTGATGGTCAAACAGAATCCCTGGTTGGATTGGTTAATTGATCCCATTTACGATTCTTTGAGAAACTCTTATATAGTGTACTTCAGCATCGGGCTCTCGTTGCTTCGCCCCGTTTTCATGCGGCATAAGCTAAGTGTTCGGGTGTGGACCATCAACGTGGCTGCGCTTCTCTTTGCAGGCTATGGAGTCTATCAGTGGGACAACGACGATGACGTCTGCATGTACGTGTATGCCGTCTGCTGGTCGTACCTCGCCTACTCCTTCCTCTCGATCCCATACAGCGACGTAAAGAATCCGAAGGGACGAGTGGAGCTGATCATATTCAACATGCTTACGTTGCACACTATGGTGACCTCCTGCATGGAGTCAATCGTTGTCCAGATCATGGTCACAGAATTCTCCTTGAACATGGAGCTCTACCATGAAAGAAAGCTGCAAAAAGAAATCGAAATTCAGGAGGAGGAAGGCGAAAAAATCGAAATTATTGGTGATAGTCAGGAAAATAATGAAGTGGTGGAACTGGATAGCGCCGCATCCTCAATGTCTCCACTTAAGCACCTGAAGGAGTCCTACCGATATGCCATTATCATCGTTCTGTACTTCTATGTGTCCTTCTTTGGCACCGGCCACTGGCTCTTTAATTTTACATTCACAGCCACTATTTCGCGACTCTTCCTCTCCAGCTTCTCTCTTCCACTGTCAGCCGCACTGATCCTGCTGAAGATTTTCATTCCATCCATCATTATAATGTGCTTCGTTTATGCGCTGGTTTCCTTTGGCCGCAAGAATGCCCGTTCCATCATGATCTGTGTCTTCCTGATGAACGACGCCATGAGCCTGTACTTTGGCTTCTACGTGGACAATCGCGGCTCCTGGAAGACGGTGCGACAGTCCCTGGACTACCTCCTAGTGACCCATGTCTTTATTATTCTGTTACTGATATGTTCCTGGTTGGCCGAGGCATTGGTCGGCAAGACTTTGGAGGATAAGCCAGCTAACGTAATCCAACCAACTTCTGTTATTGCCAATCCATCAACTGTTGTGGGAGATAGTCGAGCATAGAACTTCTCGGACAGTATGCCAACGTTAATTAGTATTAAGTTTAAGTTTCAAAATTAATAATGTAATTCGGTAGTCAACGTAAAAATAATTATGATTTCCATAGGTATGTTACATGCCATGAAAACTTTACAAATAAATTCTGTATATACTTTGTCTACCACAGTAGGTGAACTTTTTTTTCTATACTTGCTTATTTTAAAAATGTTAAAAAAGCACTTGATTGTGATTATAAATATTTAGGAATTAAAATTTATAATTATTTTAAATTTCTAAATGAAGAAGCTAGGAGAAAAGGCACAGACTAATCTCAAGACATGAGAATTACTCATACGACAGGTGTGACGCCATGGGTTGTATTTGAATTTCGGCCCATTATTTATTTTTGTTCCAAAAACTTTTATCTAAGCACTATTTTTTGTTTGTTAGAAAGTTATTCAACTTCCGTAGTACGATTCCTTCGAGTTGCTAAAGTATTACTGATTATGTCGTCCCCCTGGCTGGCATTTCTAGACATAAGACTTCTGGTTCTCTCAACCAGACCCCCCAAAAACTATGTAACCCATTTGAATAAGGCTGAATGCGTGCCTGTCGATGTCTAACTAATGGGCTCACATGGGTGCCATGCAGCGGGGCTATGCCGCCCACTATTTTTTGGGGAAATCCACTGCTCTTTCCGCGGCAGGATGCGTGCGTTGCCTGGCTGCGGAGGTCACGAGAGCCGAAATCGATCCAACAGTTGGAAAATTTGCATTTGCCAGGCTTCGGAAATAGGGAAGACGCGGCAGAGACGGATGCGGATGCGTGCCTGGGAGACACTAAATAATTAAAAAGCAATTTGTCTAGGCCCAGGCGCAGGCGATTGGTTGAATTTTTGGGGAAAGGGGTTGCGTTCCGGACCCGTCTCGTCCTGTCCCGTTCCGCTCCGTTGCCGCACCCGTTCCCGTTCCTGTTCGTCGTCCGCCGCCGGTGGCCAGGCCCCACCGAAAATGAGCACCACCCCGAAGTGGTACTGCCGCAACAAATCCCAGCCGATGCACACGTTCGCGGAAATCGGCAAGTTGGGCCTAGAGCTGCGGCGTATTACCAAACGGATAGTGATCGACGTTAACTCGGCTATATTCAGCGAGAATGTAAGTACTACGTATAGCTTCTTGAGAATAAATAACAGCTATTATAAACCTTTATTCAGGATACGATTTTGGAGGAGTGCGAACGGGTGGTGGAGCAGTACTGGAATCTCAAGGACGAAACCAAGAATGCCGACTTTCAGTCACTATCAAAGAAGATCAAGCGCAGCCCCTACAACCAGCTGCTGATGAAGAAGTTCCAGTTGATCATGGAGCTCAATGACAGGCGCTTTTGTCAGTTAACTTTTGTTCTTAAAAAGACAGTGGGTAAAGAATGCTCTTCTCCTTGAACTTGACTAAATTGGAATCTGTATTTCAGCTAAGTTTCCTCCTTCGCAAGTCCATGCAGTCGGAAATGTGGTTGAACTGGGCTCTGCACATCACTCAGCTGTACAACAAGTGCCGCAAGGTGGAGAAAAAACCGGAGAAAGTGGAGGTGGACCCTCAGCCAGGCGAGGAGGAGCTTGAAGAGGAGCCCAAGCTGGGCAGCAAGAGGAAGGAGGAAATGCACGCCAACGTCTGCAGCAATATGTTTCCAGGTCTTCTATTGACTCTAAAGCCAATAGATTTTGGATATGTGCTTCAGGTGGGAGCTCTGAATACATTTTTTAATAATTTTAACAAATTGAATGCTAGTTAGTGGCCCAGAATCGAGTGGAACAAAATGCTTTGGATCTAGTATTTGGGCTCTTCAACATGGGAGAGCAGGATGCCTGGCGGGAACAACAGCATCTGGAGTCCACATCCTCCAGTCTGGAGATTCTTCGCACCTTGAACATTTCCTTTGCCGCCGGCGATTATCAACCTTATTGCGATTCTGCCCAAGATTACAAGTCCATGCAGATGGCAGATTCGAACCTTCAGGAACAGGATCATCAAAGTCAAAGCTTGCGGTGCAAACATACGGAAAGTTTTCTCCAGAAAGAGCGCGTTTTCATAGCCCAGTTAATAGCGAAGGCCACAGAGATAAGTCCAACTATTTTTGGTAAAACTCCCAGTTAATTTCTGAAATATTTTTCAAGTTAATAGCTTTAACTATTTACAGATAATGGCAAGAAAGGACCTGTGGACATGAATATTTATATTGTAAAGGGGTTGCGCTTACTCTGGTCCTATGTGGGCATTATTTTGGACCACATCCTGCTTTGGTGGATAGACACTCCGGTGTCCTGTTATCGTCTTACCCATATTGATTCTATTCGCAGTTGGCTCTATCATCAAAGTGTTAATGGTGAGTCAATTATTAAACTTTCTTTAAATATTTAATTAATTGTAATATTCATAGACATACCGGAGCCTGTTTTCTCAACACTACGTGGTATCGGCGAGATCCTGACTGGTTTTGTGTGCAACAACATATGGGATCAGCTATTCCGTCTTACCCTCATCTCGTCCAACAACACTACGCGTCTGGTAGATGCAGTTGTGGAGCAGTATCGCGATTGCCCCAAAAACGTAATAGCATTTATTTAAAAAACTTTATTTTATTAAAATGTCACAATATCAATAGGAATTTGGTACCCCAACTGGCACTGTCTGGATCAGCGTGTTCGCCAATCTCGTCAACTTGAGCAACCAATACTTTTCCAATCTGGAGGCTCACAACAATTCCAGCTTGCTGCCCGTGGCTGAGCAAATACCCATTCTCCATAGATTGGGTATGATTCTAAAGGAAGAGGATTGTAAACCTGAGAATTATTGTTGCTTCCTTTCAGATCACTCGGTGCATTCAATGCGTCTCTGGGTCACCGAACAGGCTAAGCTTTTGTGCTGCGAATGGAAAATGGACCGATTCTTCCAGATACTGGAGCACGATGTGAAACTCTGTCTCAATGTCTTCATAACCTTTCAACTGCCGAAACTCACTGCCGATCTGAGCGATATCCTGATGTTGGTTTGTGTTGCCCTGCGAACCAAGTTAATCACCGAGGTCAATGCCAATATAGACAAGCTAAAGGTGGGTACTGTAGAATGGTAAGGTAATAATAGCTCACAAAGGTATGCTATGTTTTTAAAGATGGTTGGTAATGGTTGAGGTGGTGATCTGTTATAACCTTGCCTCTTTCTCCCAGAAAACCACCGATGAGTGTGTTCAAATTCTATCCGCGGTCTGCCGAGTCCTTAGCCTGGCCAATTTTACTCTCTGCTTTCCCGCCGCCACCTTCTGGCAACGCGAGGTCTACAACAACGATGAGAAGAGCCTGTACGTAGGCTATGTGCTGGACGAGATCTACCTTCCGACCATACGTGCCACCAAGGACATTGTCATCCTCAAACTGATCCTGAAACTAATTTGCGAGGCCTGGCTGGACTTTATTTATCAGAAACGGATACGCTTCAGCGTGAATGGAGCTGTACGGTTGCTCAACGACTTTGACGATGTTCGGGAGTGGATTCTGGCCTGCACTTTGCTGGATGAAGAGCAGCTGGAGAAGCTGAGCAATCACGAGGTACTGCGAATGTGTAAGGGAGTGGGAAAAATACTCCTCCGTAAGCCGGAGGATGTGATATCCATTACCCAGTCGCCCAAGTTCGACAAGAAGGCGCGTAAGTGGGGTCTAGATTTGCTTTTCTGCGGGTTTGCATTGATGAAACTATTTGTTTAGAAGACGCCTCTGCCCAGGACACCCAATTACCCTCGGAGATGTTTGTGTCCAATCAGAAGCACTGGCTACAACTACGGGCCAGTGGAGGCACTGGGTTTCCCTTCCTGAAACTTTGCTGCGGCGATGCTGCCATGTAGTTGGACCTTTTAAAAGGGTACAAGAGTTTATTGAGTCGCTAAAATGCTTTACAAAAGTGTGGGTCTAAAATAAATATATATTAGAAAAGAGGAGAAACTATGGTTATGTTCTTTTTGAGTGGAAGTCTCCCTTAGGCGGGCACCTTGCGACTGATGACTTTTATCAGCTCGTCGACGCGCTCGCTTTTGCCGGCAAACTGTTTTGGATGTGGTCCAATCATTTGAATGATCATTGGCACATCTGCCGAGACCTGTAGTGAAAAATATTAAAAATCAGAATCATTGACAGCTGTCAGTTTCGGATATGTGGAATATGGGTCATTACCTCTAGGAAGCGCACGAGAGCCTTCAGCGTGCGGAAGATCTGGTCTTCGTTCGGACTGCTCTGGAAGAACTGAAGAATGGCCATGGCCAGCTCCACAGCTATGTCATCGAAAACCTAAAAGAATGTCCCACTTTAAGTCCAATGTGTCAAATATTATTAGATGAACTAACATACCACAGTCTTGACTTCCTTGATTGCAATGTTGTAGAGGATCATGCTGCCAATGTTTTTCAGTTGCGGGCAATTGGAAAGGATGCAGTGAACGGCCACCTTGGTAGTCACACGAATATTGGAGATGGTCTGTCCATTGTAGTCCCATTCGGATATGTACAGCAGCCACTCGGAGGGACCAACATTCTCAAATAAATTACACATCTATTTGAATAGAAAAACTTTATTATGAATTTCATAATACTTTCTCGATGGATTAACTTACAAACATGGCCCAGGCTTGCTGCTCCTCTGGCGTGTGCTTATCAATGTCCTGGGCAAAGTTCATCAGCGTGTGATCGCGGCGATCCTGGTGCAGAATAATGATCACATCGTCTTTAAGAGCGGCATAGGCCAGAGTCCGGATCAAATGTATCCGTGTGTCCGGGGAGAAGGCCTGAACATCCCGCAAGACGCGCTGGACAAATACCAGAAAATTGTCTCCAAGCGCCCAAGAGCCATCATCCTCGATCAAATACTGATGCAGCTCCTCCATGGCCACCTCTTCCTCCTTGTAGATTTTGCCATCGAGCAATTTAACGAGGCTTTCTAGTTCAGTCTTAATCTGTGCGGATGTGATAAGAAATAATTAAAACATTGCCAAAATTGGGCACGTTCCTGTGGAATTAATTTTTAGTGTCTAATTAACCCAAAATAAAGAAGACTTTTGAGGTACATAAATATGAAGGGGACTCTCCAGAAAATTTGACATAAAATAAAAAAAAAAAGTTATTGGTAGATTTTAATAAAGATTTGGTGGATAATCGATCTACAAATTGTTTAAGCTATTCCGCTTTAATATCGGCTAATTATTGAAAAACATATAGCCATATTGTGTTTCATGTCTACAAGCATTATTGTAAAATTCTGGAAGGTTTTTAATCGTCCAGAAAAGTTGAAAAAAAATCAAATATTTTTTGTATAGGGTTCGATGCAGTTTTATCAGTTTCATTGGGTTCGATGCAAAAATTTAAAGGAAAGTTGTTCTAAAAATCTTGAAGGTTTTTCTTTTAAGAATCCAATAGGTTTTGGCAAAGAAATAGCCTTCGAGTTAGACCATTCCTTGTGTTTTTTTGCATTTTGAAGAACACTCTCCACAGTGGGTCCATTAAAGGTCCACATGAGTTTTTGTATAATTTTTAAGAAGATCCAGAAAAGTTAACAAAAAATCGAAAAAATATTTTGTTTGTGGGGATTTACGGAGAATCGCTCTACAAACAGTTTAAGGTATTCCGCTCAAGAATCGGATGAATATTGGCGAATATATGGGCATCCCTGGGGGCCATACTGTCCTCTTATGTATTTCCATCATTTTTTAAGAGAATCTTCCAGAAAAAGTGACAAAAAATCAAAAAAAAATTTAGTTTGTAGGTTTTGATACAGTTTAAAGGAGAATCGATCTGGAAATCGTTTAAGGTATTCTCCTAAAGAATCGGATGACTATTGACATAGATAAAGCCATCACAGTGGGCCCCATTGTGCCTTTATGCATTCTTGTGTATTTTTGAAAGGGATTCCAAAAAAATGTGAAATAAAATCAAAAAAATATTTTCTTTGTAGGCTTTGATGCACTTTGAAGGAGAATTGATCTACTAATCTTTTAAGGCACTTAACTAAAAAATCTAATAATTATTAGCAAAGATACAAACATATAATCTGTTCCTTTTAGAAGCAGACACACAAAAATGTTTTGTCAAAAGTTCAAACAACACTAAAGTATTATATTTGGTAAAGGAAATGTGTCAAATATTAATTAACCAAAGCACGAATGCATTTAATTAAATTTTGGAAAGACTCACGTCAATGTCTTTCAGGACCAGGGCCGGCTCGCGTGGTACCTCCTTCTCCTCGGTGGACTTGGAGCGTTCCTTGCCATTTTGCGGCTGCTGTTGTTGGGCTGCGGGCTCTGACATCTCTGGTCTATAAATAGGCGAGTGAGGAAATTAATAAAATAAATTTCATACTTAAAAATAAATGTAAACTTTGGCTGCATCAGCAGCAGCAATAGCGAAAACAGACATCGTCACACGACAAGCTGTTGTTGTTTTTTCCTTCTATGGGGCCATTAAATTGCACAGCTTTTCACTTTTTATACCAAATTATTTTTTACGATCTGCTTAAGATAATGTTGTAATTTTCTCGGCGCGAATTACGGCTGAAATGTTTACAGCTTCTGCTCGAGAAATATGCAAAGAATCCGATGTTTAATATAAACAATGGGTGTGAGAACGCTCAACAACGATTTTACTTAATTAATAAAATAAGAGAGAAGAAAGGGAAAAGCAGAATCAGAAGCCGGCGAAGAAAAGTTGTCAAACCAATGTGTGACAGTAAAACCGAGAAAAACTCAAAATAGACGGGTTATTTTTAGTTTTTTACTTTACGCAGTCAAAAACAAGGTACAGAAGATTTAAACTGGCAACAAGAAAACGCATTCAATGCGTTACGAGCTCGAAAATTTGAAATTTTTATCCATAATTTGTGTTTCTTTTCCTGACAGAAATTATCATCCTGCTTATTGCAATTGAATTGTCTTGTTTGTCAAATAATTTGCATAATTTATAGAATTCCATATTACTCACATGCTATTTTCGTAAAAGTGACACAGAAATTCCTCTGCTTTCGACACCAATTCAGACAGAAGCCGAAATCAACTAGGGCACAAATATTTCTTCGGTTTGGCTGCTGATTTTTGTTTATCCAGAATAAATGGTTATTTATTTATCAAGATCCAGTTAGCGGCGAGCCTTGCAACTTATAGAGGAATTCCGGAGACGAGAAGCACGCGAACTGTTCCTGAAGAGAATCGACTCGAAATTGCCACTGTTTGTGCCGCAAAAATCTCGTGGAGGTGTGAGGAAATCTTTTCGGGAAATGCACACAATTGCTCAATTTTTTCCGACTCAGCGACTCTCGAGCGTGATGTACATAGAAAACAGACGTGCTCCTATAAGCGACGTGTGAGTGTGTTTTCGGCTATTCCATATCGGTTCTTTAAAAATAGACAAACGCCTCAGTTCGCTCGTGAGAAGAATCTGGCCACTGCAACTACACTCGACAAAATTCCACAGATGGCTGCTCTTTAAATTCGACTGGACATCGCAAAAGGCGTTTAATGTCCTTGCAAGGGCAAGGAGCAAGGACCATGGACCGCAAACGTCAATGCAATGTCGATTGACGGGGGGCTTTGGTGCTGGGAAAGGTCGGGAAAAACACAAAAAGCTATTAAGTGGCAACCAAAATACATTCCTCGCCCAGCTGGAGGTCCTGTCACATTCTGAAAGCAACAAGTCTCACATTGCGTATACGAGATGTTGACCAAGGCCCAGGCGTTGGCTCCTTTCATTTGACTTTTGAGGACTAAACGTATCGGTTGCTGCCGAGAGGACAATTCGGGCTGAAACGCAATTAAATCTAGCCATCATGACAACTCCGATTAAGAGTTCCCTGAGACTGGTGGTCCTTTTGGCTTTTGTGATCTCTTGCCAGGCTACGCTTGAAAGGGAAAACAGTGAAGTGAACAACTTGTCGAATGTGAGTGAACTAATGGAGTTACTTTTTGATGTGTGTAATCTTAACAGAAATCTAAATTTCACAACCCAGTATCTGAGGAATAGCATGCATAAAAAACTAATTCACCATGATTAGAAACAATATTTGAACAGCCTTACGAAATAAATCGTTATAATTTCTAATCTTTTGCACAGCATAAACTAAGTGGCGTAATCCAGTGGAAGTATGAAAAGCGACCTTTCTGCAACGCCTTTACAGGTAATTATATAATCTATAAATAGATGGATATCTATCCAAAAGTAAATCAATTAACCAAAATAATTACAGGGTGTGGCCGTAAACGAACTTCGTATCCCTCGTATCCACCTTTTTCGTTGATAAAACGCAACGATATCGAGGAAAAGCCCTACAATAATGAGTACTTATCTGAGGGCTTGAGCGATTTGATCGACATTAATGCCGAGCCAGCTGTGGAAAATGTTCAGAAGCAGATTATGTCGCAGGCTAAAATATTCGAGGCCATCAAGGAGGCCAGCAAGGAGATTTTCAGGCAAAAGAACAAGCAAAAGTTGCTGGAAAATGGACAACAACTGCAACTACAAGAGGAAAGGGAGAACATTTAAGAAGGACCATGAAAAAGACCCGTATAAATGGACTAGCAAGTTTCCAAACCGGTTTTGTTATTGTAAATATTAAATATAGTTGTACCTATTATCTGTGACTCTTTGACATTGGCAAGCATTCAATAAAGATTCGTTGACTTCAATTTGTTTGTAAATTATTTAGCAAATTATCACATCTGACTAAAAATATTTCAAATCATTTTTAAACAGGCATGGCGTAATAGCCAAAAATTATGACAAGTTGTTCAAAATGTATGCACATTGTGAAATTTATAAACAAACTTGCCGAACATTTACTAAACAAATATAGTTATGAGTTTTATCTCCTTCATACATGTAGTGGTAATCAGAAATGGGTCGGTGGGCTTCCCTATCAATCGGATTCATTCTGGCGATAAGAGGAATTAACCATTTTGCTCTTATCAGAAAATAATGCACCTATTTAATAAAATTTCACCAGTTCTTTGTCCCTGACCTCAGCATATTCGATAAGATCTCTTAGCTTATTAAATTTGCAAATAATTTCTATAAGTTTTTATTTTACAATCTTGTTTCTTTATTAAAAACTATTTTATTTCCATTGTATTTGATGTATTTCCGTGTTTGAAAAAATTTTAACTGTAAATTTTATCTAATCTATCTGATACAATTTGTTGTACAGGCTACAAGCATTTGTTATTTCTTTATTATATTAGTTATATTAGTTTTTTTGGGTTTTTACTATTTTTTTTTCATGGAGAGAGCGCGGAATGGCCTAATGTCTTTATAATTTATGCCAAATTCGGAACTCTTTTTGACAAACGCACTTTGACTCCATGTTTGGGCATCAGGGCTATTCCATGGGTTTCGTATTCCAGCTCGCGCTTGCTCATCACTTCGACGTTGAAGTTCTGCAGGATCTTGACGATGGCCAGCTTGGAATTCATGCGTCCCATTCGCTGGGCAATGCATATTCTAGGACCCTCCCCGAAAGGCATAAATGCGGTGGGACTGTAATTGTGGCTCTCCTCCGTGAACCGATAGGGATCGTAGGTGTCCGGGTTGGGGAAAAACTCTTCATCCCGGTGAAGTCCATACAAAGAAATAACAACCGGAGTACCTTTCGGGATGACGTGATTTGTATCGGGCACAGTGTAGTCCTGAGTGCATTCGCGGTTCAACATAGGAAGACCAGGGTACTTGCGGAGGGTCTCCTGAAGGCACAACTCAAGAAACTCCATTTTTTGGAGTGCATCATATGTAATCTTTCCATCGTTCTTGGCCAAAGTCTCGTCCACTTCCGCCTGAAGACGTTTCAGGTGCTCAGGGTACTGAGCCAACTCGTAAATGGTGAAGGACGCTGTTGATCCAGTTGTCTCCTGGCCAGCAATGTAAAATATAAAGGCCTGGGCGGTAATAGCCTCTAATGAAATGGCCTTGATATGACCTGAAAAAAAATTGCATGCATATCTGATAATTTAAAAATTTTGTGTACAACTGACCTTCGGGCGATTTCTGTATACTGAAACATTTTTCGTCATTCTCCTCTATTTTTCCAGTGTTCCTGAAATTCATGAGCAACTGCAGCAGATCCTTGCGAACAATTCCGTGTTTCTCCCTGTGCTCAATGGTTTCCTTGACGATTTCCAGCATGGCGAGACCGACTGGGTTTTTGAAGCCGACTTTAAACAGCAATTGCGCAATACTATTCAAATTTTTTTCAAAGAACTCAATATATTAAATTTTGATTTTTTATTAATTAAACTCTATTATACTTACGACGGAACCAGGAATATCATCATGCCAAAAAGTGCCGTGAACCGGTTGTTGGTTCGAGCCAATGATACCAAATTGTTGAATTTGTTGTCCGGATGCTCGAAGCTGTTAACATCCAATCCGAAAATGGTTGAGGCAATGATATCCACAGCATACTTTTGCATAACTTTTTTGAGGTCCACCTCCTGCGATCCCTCCTCTGGTAGAACCTTTTGAAGGTGGGTGACCATCTTGTCGCCAATGTCTTCAGAAGTGCTATACATTGCCTTTAATTTTCCAGATGTAAAGCACGGCGACAACATATGTCTCATGGAGCGCCAGCTCTGGCCTTGCAGGGAGAATATACTGGCACTCAGGGGGTCATTCTTTTCATCCACATACACTCCGCGATCGTGGAAGCTGGCAAAATCTTGGGTCAGCACCCGGCGTGCTAGAGCAGCATCCCGGATCAGCACTCCCCGACGGAAGAGCAGGTAAATGCCCACAACCTTTTCCTTTGTTCTCAAGTACACGTCGTGAATGGCCAAGCCCATGCTCCTCTCCTGCCGCCACACAGAGTCCAAGCAACCGAATGGAATCCCGGACGGCTCGTAGACTGGAAGCCCGCGACGTTGCCAGAAATCATAGTGGTGCTTAAGGTAGAACCACGCCAAAGTCAATAGCGAGGCCAGCAATAGTAGTAGCGAAAACATATTGGGGTTGAGGTTGAAACTTGCAGGTTAAAAACTGAACTGCCCCAAAAAAGCTTGTCTTCCCTTTATATAGGAACAGCTTTTGAGTGGGCGAAAAACGTTCTGCTCTTTCTAATAGAGCTCTCTTTCGAATGCAGATAAGCGATTCTGATAGATGTCTCTTTGATCAAACCAAGTGAGCTATTGTGAAATAGGCAGAAGAGACCCGACCTTTTCTGTTTATTAACATAAAAGCCCGTTTTGTTTACATTTTGTATGTTTATTTGGTTTTCTCTTGGCATATTTATACAATAACTGGTTCTATTGTACTCTTGCTGAACTTGGTTTGTTTTTATCTTAAACACAAAACATATAAACACTAGACACTTGCCTTGTCTTCAAACTTGTTCTTTTTTGTTTACAATATTATCTCCATATTTGTATTATCTTCCTCGAGTTGACTTATTTAGTGGATTTACCGATAATACACTAATATAAAGTATAAGGCAATAATAGTTCCATTCTCTAGGGCTTTTTGGTATGAATTTCTTATTGGAAAACAAGTGCAAGTGCAAGTTATAATCTTTCATTTATTATTCTTTTTTTATACAACTAAGCAGACAATATTTTCAATTACATTTGCTCAGTTTTAGAGCCTTTTACGTTAATATTAAATTGGTAAGTTTTGGTAAGGTAAGGTAAGTTTTCATTAAACTGTCAGTTTTTAGTTTTTGGCTTTTCTTTATCCCTTATGCTACGGTGGGGGTGCGTTTGGACAAACGCACTTTGACTCCTCCCTTGGGTATCAGGGCAATGCCATGGGCTTCGTATTCCACCTCTCGTTTGCTCATCACTTCGACATTAAAGTGCTGCAGGATCTTAACGACAGCCAGCTTGGAATTCATGCGCCCCATTCGCTGGGCAATGCATATTCTAGGACCCTCTCCGAAGGGCATAAATGCGGTGGGGCTGTAATTGTGACTCTCCTCAGAGAAGCGATAGGGATCGTAAATTTCCGGATTAGGGAAGAACTCCGCATCACGGTGTATTCCAAACAATGATATAATAACAGGAGTGCCCTTCGGGATGACGTGATTCGTTTCGGGCACAGGGTAGTCCTGAGTGCATTCGCGGTTTAACATGGGTAGACCAGGATACTTGCGAAGAGTCTCTTGAATGCACAGCTCCAGGAATTCCATCTTGTGCAGGGCATCATAGGTAATCTTTCCATCATTTTTGGCCAAAGTCTCGTCCACCTCCGCCTGAAGACGCTTCAGGTGCTCAGGGTACTGGGCCAACTCGTAAATGGTGAAGGACGCAGTCGATCCAGTTGTCTCCTGGCCAGCAATGTAAAATATAAAGGCCTGAGCGGTAAGAGCCTCCAATGAAATGGCTTTGATTTGACCTGTGGGGGGACGAATAACAATATGAAATGGCTCCCGTTTAACAATAACATCTCTCACCGTCGGGGGTTTTTTGAATGCTGAAACATTTCTCGTCATTCTCTTCAATAGTTCCTGTATTTCTAAAATTAATGAGCAACTGCATGAGATCCTTTCGAACAATTCCATGTTTCTCTCGGTGCTCAATCGTTTCCTTGACAATATCCAGCATAGCTACAGCAACCGGATTTCTTAAACCCAGTTTAAGCAGTAGTTTCGCCACACTATTTTTAAAAGAAGAACTCATTACATTTATCTAAACATTATAATTAGTTGATTCGAACTTACGGAGGAACCATGAAAATCATCACTCCAAATATGGCGCTCATTCGGCTATGGGTCAGAGCTATAGATACCAAATTGTTGAATTTGTTGTCCGGATGCTCGAAACTGTTAACATCCAATCCAAAAATCGTTGAAGCAATGATATCAACAGCAAAGTTTTGCATAATTTTTTTGAGGTCGACTTCATGGGATCCTTTTTCGGGTAGAACCTTTTGCAGGTGAGCGACCATCTTGTCGCCAATGTCTTCGGAAGTGTTGTACATAGCCTTTAGTTTACCTGAGGTGAAGCAGGGTGACAACGTATGGCGCATGGAGCGCCAGCTCTGGCCTTGCAGAGAGAATAAATTGGCATTCAGTGGGTCGTTCTTTTCATCCACATACACTCCGCGATCGTGGAAGCTGGCAAAATCTTGGGTCAGCACCCGGCGTGCTAGAGTAGCGTCCCGGATCAACACACCCGGGCGGAAGAGCAGGTAAATGCCCACAACCTTTTCCTTGGTTCTCAAGTACACGTCGTGAATGGCCAAGCCCATGCTCCTCTCCTGCCGCCACACAGAGTCCAAGCAACCGAACGGAATCCCGGACTGCTTATAGACTGGGAACCCGCGACGCTGCCAGTAATCATAGTGGTGTTTCAGGTAGAACCACCCAAACGTTAACAACGAAGCCGCCAATAATATTAAAGTAAACATTTTGGAATCAGAAAAGTAACTGACCTCTGAAAAGCATGTCTTCCCCTTATATAGGGGCAGCTTTTGAGTGGACTTTACATTTCGTTCTCTTACGACTTTGAAGTCTGATAACCGAAACAGATCGCTATCTCTCTTATTAAGCAATAGTTGACATAAAATCACATTGTGAAATAATCAATATATTTCCAGCTTAATTAATCTCTTTTGCTTCCAAAGCCAAAATTTGTACTTAAATAACTTTAATTTTATTAAAATTGTGCTTATATCCGTATTAGGAGTACTTTTTAAGAGGAATAAAATGAAAATTAAGAAAAAATTAAGCTTAGATAGTAAAGATGCATGTTGAATTTACTTGCAAACACTAAGAATTAAGAGAATGAGAACTTAATTGCTTCGCTCTTAGCTAATGATAGATAAGTTAAAGCTTTCGATTTAATATATTTTGTGAAATAAGTGGCATAGACCATAGGTAGTACATTGATAATGACCTGAAGGGCATCTTCATGATATCATAAATTAAGGTAAAACACTAAAAGTGTGCTAATCGGTGATCTGTCAAAAAAGATAGTATTATTAAAAAATAAATACAAATCATTTTCTTTACATCTTTATAATTAGAAGGTATATAATTTATTTCCTTTGATAAGGACCCTTAACACATGTTAAATAAAACAATCTAGGACACTCTGGAAACTCTCTTAGACAAATAAACCTTGACTCCATTTTTAGGCATAAGGGTGATACCGCTGCTATCAAATTCAAGCTCTTGTTTTTCGATTATTTCGACGTTAAAATTCTCTAGGATCTTCACGATGGCTAGCTTGGAATTCATGCGCCCCATCCGCTGGGCAATGCATATCCTAGGACCCTCGCCGAAAGGCATAAATGCGGTGGGACTGTAATTGTGGCTCTCCTCCGTGAACCGATATGGATCGTATGTCTCCGGGTTGGGGAAGAATTCCGCATCACGGTGAATGCCATACAAGGATATAACAATAGGAGTGCCTTTGGGAATGACATGATTCGTATCGGGCACAGGGTAGTCCTGAGTGCATTCTCGGTTCATCATGGGTAGACCAGGATACTTGCGCAGAGTTTCCTGGAGACACAACTCAAGGAACTCCATTTTCTGCAGGGAGTCATATGTAATCTTTCCATCGTTCTTGAAAAGAGTCTCGTCTATTTCCGCCTGCAGGCGTTTTAAGTGATCAGGATACTGGGCCAATTCGAAAATGGTAAATGCCGCTGTTGCTGCAGTAGTCTCCTGGCCAGCAATATAAAAGAAAAATGCCTGGGCTGTTATAGCCTCTAATGAAATGGCCTTGATCTGACCTGTGATGGGATTAAGTCATTAATATTAAATGATTAACTTTTAAGTAAGCCCTCTGTCACCTTCGGGGGTTTTTTGAATGCTGAAACAGTTCTCGTCATTCTCTTCTATTTTTCCCGTATTCCTGAGGTTCATGAGCAACTGCAGGAGATCTTTTCGAACAATTCCGTGCTTCTCGCGGTGCTCAATAGTTTCCCTGACGATTTCCAGCATGGCGAGACCGACTGGGTTTTTAAGACCTATTCGGAACAACATCTTGGCGACACTATTCATATAAAATACAAAATAAAGATCATAGAACTTATGCAATCTTTACACTTACGATGGCAGAAGGAACAACATCATGAAAAACATGGCTCCGAATCGGTTCTTAGGTTGGGCTAGCGTTACCAAGTTCCGAAACTTGTTTTTTGGATTCTCGAAACTGTTTACGTCCAAGCCAAAGATGGTTGAGCCAATGATGTCGATGGCGTAGTTTTGCAGGACTTTTTTGATGTCAACCTCGAGAAATCCGTAGTCTGGCAGGACCTTTTGAAGGTGAGCCACCATCTTATCGCCAATGTCTTCAGATGTGCCGTACATGGCCTTTAGTTTTCCGGATGTAAAGCACGGCGACAACATTTGTCGCATGGAGCGCCAGCTTTGACCTCGCAAAGAGAAGATATTGGAGTTCAAAGGATTCCATTCCTCATCGACGTACACTCCACGATCGTGGAAGCTTGCAAAGTCTTGGGTGAGTACCCGGCGAGCCAGTGCAGCGTCGCGGATCAAGAGTCCGGGTCGGAAAAAGAGATAAATTCCCACCACAGGTTCCTCGCTCTTTAAATATACGTCATATATGGCCAAGCCCATGCTCTTCTCTAGACGCCACACAGTGTCCAAGCAACCAAATGGGATTCCGGAGTGCTTATGAGCCGGAATTCCGCGTCGTTCCCAGTAATCATAGTGGTACTTCAGGTAGAACCACAACAGAGTCAATAGCGAGGCTATTAATAGAAGAAATGGCAGCATATTTAGCCAACTGACCGCAACTTAGTTCGTTGACAAACAAAAACCAACTAACTCCCGAATATTGATTGCTGACTATAACAATATTCTCTCTTTCACAAGAGTGTTCTCTTACGTTATCAGTACACATACTCGCAAATAAGTATGACTAGTCAGCCAAAACAATACGTTCTCAAGAGAGTTAAGGAGATTTTTGATTGTTTTGGTTGAAACCGGCATTTAGCCAGACAGTACTCTTCAGATATTTAGGTCTAAAAGAGTGCAATATTTGTATTAATCTGAGACCAAGGTTATTGTTGTTTTACTTAATACAAAACTTTATTTCATAATTTCAATAAGTAAAATGTTCACTATATGGCCTAATGTTCTATTTTGTTGAATAACAAGGAGCTTTGTCACAAAGCTACCGATAAATGAATCAAAATGGTAAACTTATTCAAGGATCACACAATAAATACGTAATTCCGTTCCGTTTCAAACTTTAGGGCTAATAAAATACGCTATATTAACTAATTAAAATGTTTCAAAAGCAACTTCTAACACAGCTCTAGGCCTAGTCCAGCTTCTACAGGATTCTACAATATTCACCTTATGTATACTTTGTGCTGGGACCTTAGTAGTCTTTAGCATCAATGACCTCGAATTGCAGATCGTACTGCTGATCGAATCCAATCAGACAGTCCGACATCAAATACAACGTGAGTTGCAGACGCCCACGCCGCGGAGTGGCCTGAAAGGATATCCGATTGGAGGAACGCTTTCCACGGATAGTGACCCGCTTCATGGCCAGGACTTCGTCGTTGGCCTGGGATCCCAAGGTTAGGAACCAGGCCTCGTTCTTGGGCTTCGGATATTTGGGACAATGTACTGTATAGTTTTGACCCCCAGATCGACGTTGTCCAGCTACATTTAGGCGCTGAAGATCCACGACCAGGACATAGTCTTCGTTGGCGTGTAAAGGCATCCATTCACCTTTCCGGTCATTTTCCAGGGACAAGGGCCGCTTGGCATATTCCTGTTCCGCATAGCGACCTTCCACGGATATTTGCAATGAGATTTCAGGCAAATCCTGGATAACCTGTTTGAATAATACAAATGTTTAGGACAACCTGGGCATAATAATCTGGACAATCTTACCCTGTATATTTGTTCAATTTCGTGCTCCTCGAAAGCGTCTCTCAGTGGCTTGGCCAGCACGTCGTACTCCTTCCTGCAAAGCTCCTTAACAACAGGAAGCGACAAGTAGTCGTAGTCTTCGTGGTCTATGCCTAGGAAAACATCCAGGTTATCTTCATTCACTCCTGGCAATGTAAGGAATTCGCTGGCGTCGAACCAGCGGGCCTGGATCACGCTCTGCATCAGCTGCTGCACCACAAGGGTAGTTGATAGCCAGCCCCGCTCGGCTGTGTAGTCCACCATGGCCTGCATAACTCTCGTGGCGTTGTCTAGAGCTGACTTGGTGTCTGTAAGATAATCTGAGTTGGGTAACGAGTGGCGGGAAAAGTGTGCCTGCATCAGGAGGAACGTCTTTGTGTACGGAGAGTCCCAACTGGCCGACGGCGGTCTGTAGCGACTCGTCTCGGCCATTTGCTCATTGTACTTGTCTTCGTTGTGACGCACTGGCTGCTGGTCAAACTCGTAGGAATCGGCAATAGCTAATAGAACCTCTTTGGTGCCCATGCCCGGCTGCAAGTCCTCGAGGAAATGCTGCATAGTACGGTACGACAGGTAGTAGTAGGAGCTGATTCGTCCCAGAAAAGTTGGCACTAAGCACCCATCACGTTCCACCACGCAAGCGGCAGCCGAGAGATCGTAGACCACACGCTCCACGAGGTTGGACATGAAGGCATTTACATTTTCGGGTTCGATTCCTTCCAACTGATAGTAGGAGGGATTTCGGAGTAGTCTTCTGAAGAAGTACGTCCACGTAAGATAATCCAAAGCAGCCTGTTTGGTCTGAACAGTTCCGGCCACGATTTCGGCATTGATGTGCTCCGACAGGACACCCAGCAGACTTGACTCTACTGGGAAAGGATCGTACAAGAACTTCTTGTAGAAGTTTTTCTTCTCGTCGTGCACCAGCACGACTGCGACACCTTCGTTGTCGAACTGTGGTCTTCCGGCTCTGCCCATCATCTGCAACACATCCGTGATTGGCATGTCCACGTACTTCTTCACCTTGCCATCGAAGTACTCGGTGCCCTTGATGACCACCAGATGGGCGGGTAAATTGACTCCCCAAGCCAAGGTAGCCGTGGCTACCAGCACCTGTATCTTACGATTGAGAAAGAGTTCCTCCACGCACTTGCGGTCCTGCTCCTGCAGACCGGCATGATGAAGTCCGATTCCGAAAGCCAAGCAGAACTTCAAGTTTTGGTCGCGGATGTTCTGCAATATGAGCTCCATTTCCTGTTCCTCAATGTGCAGGAATTGTTTAGGATTGGAGTCTCCAGCCACGAAGGTGATAAGGTCCAGGGCTGTGAGACGCGTCTGCCGACGCGAAGATACAAACACGATGGTGGGTTCACAGGGGGAGTAAGTGCGTATCGCCTGGAAGGTGGGCCGATTCATAGTTGCCATCCTGGGGCAGTAGTGTTTGCCGGGGAAGCCATTGATATGAACCTGCAGAGGCACAGGTCGTACCGAGGGCTTGAAGTTATACAAGCCCATCTGGGTGATGCCTAGCCAGTTTGCCAGATCCTGGGCATTGGCCAGGGCCGTGGAGAGCCCCACGATGCGAATGTTACGACCCGTATGAGAGCTTATGAAGTTGGTACGGGAGACAATCACCTCGATGACCGGTCCTCTGTCCTCGCCAAGGAGATGGATCTCATCGATTACGATTAGGGACACGTGTTGCACGTACTCTCGAGTTTGCCAGGAGCGACTTATGCCGTCCCATTTTTCCGGGGTGGTCACAATCAGTTGGGACTCTCGAATGGCCTGAATATCTGGCGTCACATCACCAGTGAGTTCCACTACCTTGAGACCTAGGGAAGAGCGCTGGAAGCGGTTCTCCCAGTCCGATATGCGCTCCTTGACCAAAGCTTTAAGCGGGGCTATGTAAACCACTTTGGATTTGGGGTTTTGGTTGAGAGCCCTGAATATCGCAATTTCAGCCACGATAGTCTTGCCACTGCCCGTCGGGGCACCTAGCAAGACATTATTGTCCGTGTGGTACAGACAGTGGAAGATTTGAGTCTGAATGGGATTGAAGTGCGTGAACTTGTACATGGACTCGTAGAGGGCGTTCTGCAGGCTGCTGACAGGTAGAGGCCGCAGGGGCAGCAGTTCTGTCAGCGGTGGATGATGCTCTGGAAGCACTAGGTGCTGGAACGAAAGTGGAACGCAGGTGGTGCTGCCCAACCAGCTATCGCTGCTCACGCGAATGTAGTACTGCGGCGGCAGGGGCTCCTTCAGCGGAATGGTCATCACTAGTTGCTGCGCCTGGCCGCTGAACACGACCTTCCGGCTTATCTGGAATAGTTCCGAGTGGTAAATGTAGTTCGATTCAGGATCCTCGATCCACAACCAAAAGCTTTGACTCGTTTTTCCATGAACCCGATCGTTCCACGTGAAGCTGGGCCAGATGTCCACTTTTATTCTCAGTACAGTGCGAGTAATTGGCTGCAGACTCGCTTCCACTTCTAACAAGGGTAGTTCTTGGGCAGAGCGGATGACTAGATCGGCGTAGCGGTCGCTACGTAACCATTCCTTCAGCTCGCGCTGCTCCATGTCCCTTAGCCGAAAGACACTTAGCCCGCGTCGTTCCAGTTTCTCGATAGTCTCGGCATTGATGGCCGGGAACTGCCGCAAATGGCTATCGAAGTCCCACTGCCTTCGCTCAAACATTTTGCACAACTGGAGCAGGCGACCAGCCAAGACGGCATTATTCTGTCGCAACACGATAGAGAACAGGGCCCTGGTTATTCTGCCAATGTTCTGGGTTATGTAGGACATGTCGGAACTAAGCGAGAAGGACTTCACGTATCCGTTGGACAAATATGTCTGAATGAGGATGTTGACCTAAGGAGAAAATTACGCATTGAAATTCGCATCCAGAGCTCCAGTAGAAATAGTTACCTTTCCGCAAATATTCTCACTTCCTCCAAAGGGCTTTATCTTACAGTAGGCGCTTCTTAGTTCATCCAATTCCTCCATCTCATCGTCCCGAACCTTTAGCTGTTGAAACTCTTGGGCCTGAGAAATCATGGCCAGTATTTCAGCCTCATTCATAAAAGGCTTCATGAGCTCATTAAATATCTCCACGGTATCGTATTTGATGTAGAAGTGCGAGGCAGTGCGTCCCAAGTCTGTAATATTCATGTCCATTGTGCGCTGATTAAAACGCATCATGCGGGCCTTGTCCAGGCTCATGGAAGCTGACATGATGAGAGCTCGACGCCGTGCCTCCAATGTCGGATCCTTCTGAAGCTCCGTGTATTCGATGCCATAGACGTGGGGATTGATGCGCATTCGTACAAACAAGTATCTACAAAGAAAATCCTTAATCCTACTGTTAAAATGAAAATATGATCAACTCACGTGTAGCTCAGCCATTCGATGGCCTCCTCCACATTGGAGATAGTGCCCAGACCGATCTCGGCATTAAGGTTGTCAGCCAGGCACTGCACAAAGTTGGATTCGATGGGGAACTGGTTGGTGAGTAGAGAAAGGTAGTGATTCAGCTTGTCGTAGCTGGTTATGATGGTGCCCACACCGCTCTTGTCGAACTGTGGGCGACCAGCGCGTCCAAAGATCTGCAACACGTCCAGTATGCCCAAGTCTACAAAGCTGCCGTGCTTGGCATCGTAGATATCCGTTCCCCGGATAATAACCGCGTGTGCTGGCAAATTCACACCCCAAGCCAGGGTGGCCGTGCAGACCAGCACTGATATGTGGCCATCGACGAAGTACTTTTCCACCATTTGCCGATCCGCTCGCAACATTCCTGCATGGTGCATGGCCAGGCCGAAGCTAAAGAGTTCCACCAGCTGCTTGTTTCGGCTTTTTTGAATGGATCTCGTGGCAAGCCCGCGGGCATTAGAGTCCTGTGGCAGGAAGACAGCGCTGGTATTGTTCTGCTGGGCCAGTTCTCGTATCACATTCGCCGTTCTCACAGTGGCATTGCGGGCATGAACGAAGACCATCACTTGATGGCCTTGCTGCACCATTTCCAGACACTTTTGGTAACAGCACTGGTCCATGTCGGCGATTTGCTGAAGCGGCTTCACCGACTTAATACCTATGAAGTTAGTGTCCAAGGGAACGGGTCGGAAACGCGAGTCGAAGTAGAAGAGACCCTTCATTGGATTAACACGCAAGAAGTGGGCCACGTCAATGTAGTTAGGAAGGGTAGCGGACAAGCCCACGATGCGGATCATTGACTGCGATGATTCTACAAGTCTTAGGGTCCGGGCTACCAGGGCCTCTATCACAGGACCTCGATCTCCGTGCAGCAGATGCACTTCGTCAATGATAAGCAGCTTCACCAGGCTGATCAAGGCCACGTCTCCGCTACCTGAGTGGGTTAAACAATGGGTAAAATATTTTCATGAACCTTAGAAGCACATCTAACCTTTTCGGGTTACAACATCCCACTTCTCGGGCGTGGTAACCAAAATCTGAGTGGCTGTCATCTCCGCTTTGGTCAACTGCATGTCGCCTGTGAGTTCCTTCACAACAATTTGCAGAGATTTCAGCCGCTTGGAAAAGTTTTCCACCATCTCGGAGGCCAGAGCTTTCATGGGGGCTATGTAGACGATCTTGAACTGATCCCGGTTGATGATTCCCTGCTCCAGGTGGCAGCGAATCGTGTGTACGATGGTCAACATTGCCACATTTGTTTTACCAGCTCCAGTCGGTGCACAGACAAGCATATTTTCGTTGCTGTGGTAGGCCACTGGGAAGACCACAGACTGAATGCGATTCAGTTCCTTGCAATTAGAAAAGGCCAGCCGACCCACGTCGTCCAGTTCCTCGATTTGTATGCGGTTGTTGCCGACAGTTAGTGGAGGGGGGTCACCCGCAGGGATCTTAACCTCTTCCCACTGCTTGTTGTCTATTCGCTGGGCTGTGTCTGGCAGTGTAATCCTGCTCCCGCCAATAAATCCGGCGTGTTGCTTTGCCGTCAGTTGGCTATCAAAGACGTAGGGATAGTGGATGGGCTGGCTGTAAGCTGACTGCTTGTGCTCCGCCTTAGCTGCCTTGGTGGTAAGGAGAAGTGGTTCTCGTTGGGCGGCTTCCAGAAGCTTTCGCTGGTGCTGCATTCGCAACTGCTGAGTGGAGACGGCCACTGCACACCCTGGATCGTCTGGATCCTCTTCATCCTTTATACTTTTCATAATGCGCTGAAGTTTCTTTTCCTCGCGACGCTGCATCTTCCCTAGCTGCTTCTCCTGGGCAGATTGCACCACCACAGCACTGGCCACAGTGGGCCGTTTTTCCACTCCGCCGGCTTGGGCCGCCGACTGTATGCGCTTCTGTTTAACTTCTTTAACGCGGCGCGTTCTGGTGGCATATTGGTCCAATTGTCGTGCAATCTTTTCGCGTTCCTGGAGAAGTTCGATCACCAGTTCAAAGTGGTCGAAGCCAAGCAGCTCCATTAGCTCATTCTGCAGCTCCTCGCTGCTCCGTTTGGAGCCCAGCATGTCACCCACACGACTAAGTAGGTGCTCGTCGTCCAGTTTCTCAGCGATGGTGAGCAAGCCCTGAAGTTCCCTACTTAACTTGATCTCATGGTCAGTACTTTTTTCCGTCACCGGAGTGGTTTTGGATTTCAGCTTCATGGAAAACTTTACCGAGGGGTTCTTGAGCGGAGGTTCCGGCGAGAGATCAGTCAACAGGCTGATGTCCACCCGTTTTGCAGGGGTTAGCTTAACGTGAATATGGGCGCCCCAAAGGTGTCTGCTACCGGGAGACTTTCGCTGGGCTTGTTGCCAGCGCTTCAGGTCCGCTCGTTCGTGTTCCTCAAGAGCATCCCCGATAGCCAATACGCAGTCGTGGATTTGAGTCTTTTTGCGATCGAAGGTGTTGCCGAACATGCTGTGAAGGCGATTGGTAGTGGCGACCAGCACCACCCGCTGATCGAGCAGCAACCAGAAGATATACAGCGCCGCATGCTCTACCACCTGTGGCTGCTCCTCGTAGCCCATGCATTCCTGGATCAAGTTACGCAGCTTTTGCAACTGAACCTTGGCGGCCGGTTGTTTTTCCACGGGTATCTGTGCCAAGAGCTTGGCAATCGTCTGCTCCTCCTTCCTGATAGAAACATATGGAAAGCCCTAATCAGTCTAATTTCATCACCGGTGAAATCTGTGCCACTTACTCTTGGGAGATTGTCGTCGTGGCCGTCGGCTGGCAAGTGCTGGCCTCGCGCAGGACATTGAAGCGACGGGTCCTTGCCTCTAGCTCTGTTTTCGTGCGCAAGGATGCACTTAATCGTGGCGGCTCCCACATATCGGTTATTCCAGTTGTTATTATTTTTGTGCTTTGTGCGCTATGGAGTGTATCGGCCGCTTATCAAACCTGTTGTTTATTTTCTCTCTATTACCGGCTGGTCACATTTTGAGCTTTAAATAAGCTTTGCCGGTGCTGCCACATAGTCGCAAAAAGCTGTGTCAAAGATTGTTCCATGTAAATGTAGTGCATATTTTACATGGAACAATCTATGAAGTACGAACATTCAATGTAAAGATACTTTTAAGCAAAAACTACCTAAAACAGAAATAAGATATCTTTATTTTATGATTATTGAATGATTAAGATATCTTTATTATTTATTTTTTTTTTATATATTTAAAAAGTAAATAGTAAAAGTAAGATCTATGAATATAAATTTTATAATAAATTATTTTAAAGATATTCTATTGCTTAGCAAAGTAAAAACCAGTAAAAAGGAAAATTATAATAAAAATAATTTGAAGAATCGTTCTTATTATGTTTTATTTTTGTTCTTTTTAAAAATAAAAGATTGTTTATTTTTGAAAAACACTCTCAGGTCCTCAAAAAGTCTCTTAGTCTTTGGTTCACAATAAATCCTTACAAATATAAAAGCTGCCTTTATTTTTAAGTAGTTTTTTATTCAAAACTTGTCCCAGAACTTTTACAACCTGTGTCCAGCTGCTTTGATATCCAACAAGCCCACCCACAAAACCCCAAAATAGTCCCCCTTAACTTGTTGCGTAAACTGCAGTTGTCAGTGTCCTGGATATATTTATTATGCCGTGCGTGTCCACATACTTGAGGAGAAGTTCTGGCTATTCATCTGCCACATGCTTCACTGAGCACTTTGAATATCCTGGTCAGCCCAGTCCAAGGAACTGCCAAGGCAAGAAGGGTATATAAAGATGTCATCCTGTAACTCGGTCCTTTTAGTTGTGGCTTTTCTGGGACACGGGACAGATCAGACTCGGAAGCGCCTATGAGTGTCGACAGTTCCTGAGCAGGATCCTAACTACAAGAACGATGCATTGGCTGGCGCATTTCCATATCATCTGGCTATGTGAGTTACTTTTAAAGGTTCTACATATGTACCACTTACATATATCTCTTATACCACTGACCTTAGGCATATGGTTACTGTGCCTAACCAGTTCTAACGCCATTCCATGCGACTCTTGTGGCAAGGAGTGCGCTAGTGCCTGCGGCACAAAGCATTTTCGGTAAGTGTCGAATAATATATACCCCTATTTTTTTATCTAAAAAAATCTTTAACTTAGGACGTGCTGTTTTAATTATCTACGAAAACGCAGTGATCCTGATGCTCTGCGCCAATCTTCCGATCGCAGGCTTATTGACTTTATCCTGCTGCAAGGACGAGCTTTGTTCACTCAGGAACTAAGAGAAAAACACAACAATGGCACCCTGATTGACCTCGGCTTGCAGACATACTACGGCTAACGACTCTCCGCAATTTCTACACTAATCCCTAAATCGATAATGGAACTGATTTTGACTAAAAAATACTCTTGTGGCAATGGCTAAAACGGTTGAAATGTTTGTAATGTTTATTTCAAAATAAAGGCGAAATCTTCTTTGGAACCCATCAAGAAGAGGTGTTACTTTGATTTTGTATCAATTGCAGTTTTATTTTTACATTACATTTATTTTTTTTTAACATTTTCTGGTTGCCATCTTTTTTTGTTTGTTTTCCATGAGTTGCAAAATAGTTTAGTCTGTGTAGATCTAGAGTTGTCAGTTCCCTACTGCTGCAGTCGTCGTCTCTGGTGTGTTTAGGCCTGGGACTCGCTGATTTCCGCGGTGGCCTGGGTCCTCGAGTCTGAGCCGAAGTCGTCCTTGCCGCATGCCAGGCAGGGCATCTTTTCCCGGAGCACCTGCTTGTACTTGGGATGGCTGTGAAAGTAAAAAAAATTAAATATTAAATGTTATAACAACTTATAAAGTAAAAAATATGTATTGAAGGGGAATTATCTGAAGATTCATTAGGCTTTTTCATTTCTTATTAAAATGAGTCAAGACTGCATTGTGATTATAATTATACCTATAGTTTCCCCAGAATATCTGACTCTAGATTGCTTTACCCAGAATTGCATCTTATTTACTGGAATTTAATATTAAAATGCGTCAAGATTGCAATCTTGTAAGTATATAACCAAGAGGAAAGACGTCCAGAGACGTCATATGGCCAGAGTAAAGAATAATATGTAAAGAAAGTGAAAGCTTTAAAATACTTTGATAACTAATATTACCTCAAGCCGTAAACAATGGGATTGCAAACAGCATTGGCCTTGGCAAAAACGGATCCGCAAATAGTGCTGAGAGGACTCAGGTGCATGGACTCGAAGATGCCAGCGTAGTTAATGATGGTATACGGGGTCCAGGCGAAGAACCACAGCGATATGGTGGTCAGAGCCACCTTGGCCAGCTTGATCTCGATGGCCTTGCTCTTGTCAGCCTCAGTGTTACGCAGAGACGCCACATTCATCTTCTTGGCCTGCTCCCGCATGGCCTTCTCGTGGGCAGCCACAGCCTGGAAGATTGGGAGAAACCAAATGGAAATGTGACGCAAAATTATGAGTCAAGCGATGCCTACCTTCATAATGTGCCAATAGGAGAAGATGATGGTCAGTAGTGGCGTGAGGTAGACCCACAGGGAGTAGACAATAATGTAGGAGCGATTCCACCAGTCCTTGGCGAAGTAATCAGTGCCGCAGGCGGTCATGTTTCCTTCGGGCACATACCGATTCCAGCCGAAGAGCGGGAACAGGGCCCAGGCACCGCAGATGATCCAGACGACCAGGAGACGGATTACGGCCGCAGTGGCGGTCAGGGGCTTCCTGGCCATGCCCTTCACAATGACACAGTACCGGTCGTAGGCAATCAGGGTCATCGACCAGATGGAGACACACCCGAAGAGTGAACCGAACATGCCGTAAAGCTCGCACAGGAACGGGCCCATGATCCAGGTGCCGTAGAATCCGTTTAGCACCACAGGCGGGAACATTGTGAACATCATCATGAAGTCGGAGAAGGCCAGGTTCACCACGAACATGTTGGAAGGCGTGCGCAGACCCTTCGACGAGGTGAAGATGTACATCACAATAAAGTTGCCCGTCAGCGACATGGTGCCGAGAATGGCGATCACAAACCCGATGATCCCGAACCACATGGGCTCGAGCGGGGGCCACTGGTACCAGTAGGGATCCACCATGTGCATGATCTCGGCGGGCACACTCTCCGCCAAGCTGAGGTTGCGGCCATCGCGCATGTACGCTAAGGTCGGGGGATTCAGGCTGATCATGGTGCTGGATCGCTGGGTGGACTTCGGTGGTGGCTTCGTCGTCTGTTATCGGGATGGTGCTGTGGCTGCACTACTCTCTGTCCATAGTAGGCGCGGACTCGGCGCGAATGCCTGCGGCAGAAGACCGTCCACGTCTTTATATTGCCACTTGTGTCCAGCCAGTCTTAGACTAATTGCCCTAATCCAATTATTTGGCACTTGGCCAATCCAAAGTTAGCGGATTCGAATTGGGCCCTCGATTGCTGCAATTTGCTGCGTCGGATTAGGCTCGAAGCGCGTCATTTCCGAGCCGTCTTAGCCACATTTTGGGGCGGAGGGGCAAGGTCAAGTTTGAGGCTACCCCACACCAACCACGCCCACCACTCATCAATTAGATTAAGACAAACTATTTCCCGCTTCGCCAAGTTCACGTTTTATTGTCACATAAGTTCGATTCTCGTCCTCAGGCATGCCAGTGGTAGCCCAGCTTGCGGGCTCCCCTCATTACGGTGGCCAGCTGGAACTCCAGGCTGCCGTACGACTCCATCGAAAGACCCTTGCACTTGAGGTTGTCCAGCAGAACCTTGGGATCTTTTAGTTCCGGCTCCCGTCGCAGCAACCAACTAGTGATGTCGGCCAACATACTCGGACACTTTGGCATGAGGATGGGGGTCTGCAGCTGCTCCAACTGTTCTGTAGGACGGCGGCTGCCAAAGACAGGTAAATGCACGTGGGCATAGCCAAGCAGGGTCTCCCGACCCTGGCTACCGTTGCGTCCAAACACGCTCACCAGGATCTGTGGCCCTGGGTTGGGATTTGAGATTACAAATATTAAAGGTTTCAACAAAAATAATCAATTTCACCCACAGCCAAAGGGACTGGTGCTCTTGTAGGTCACTTCGATGGGCATGTTGAAGACAATCGGTTCGTTAAAGTGGCCGCTCCGGTTGGTGGCCATCTGGGTGAGTCCGTGTTGTGGTCCGGAGGCCAATTGCCAGTCGGGTCCTGCCACCAGTTCATAGCGCAGGAACACAAACTCCCTGTCCGGACCCAGTGGAAATGTGGCTGAGACTATTTGACCCGTGATGCACACACTGAAGTAGCTGGCAGTGGTTTTCCCGTCCATCGTGTCCACCGAACAACTAGTTTGTTTGGGCGCCTTGGACTTTTTCCTGGCCCTTTTGGGCTTATGTTTATTTCTTTCACTCGACGGAGTGGTGTCCTGGTTGCCCGGGAGACTAATACCTTCGCTGGTGCTCATTGCGCCGCCTTTTGACTCTCAATAAGGGTGAGTTTTTCTATAGTTTCTATTATATTTTCCACCTGACAGTTAGTGAGTCAAGGGTAAGTGTTGTAAAAGGTGGTAATATAATTATATCCCTCAAATTTTACCTTCCATTTTAATGTAAAGAAACCCCAAAAGTTAAGGGTAGAAATCGGTAGTTTTAATTGTATTTTTTTTTTTTACCTACATACAATTTTTTACATAAAACCAATAACTCCATGATTCCACAAGCTTTTTTCTTCTAATAAAATAAAAAAAAACCTTAAAAATTACATAATCTTTTAATGGCGCATCTAAGACAAAAGTTACACCTGAACAGTCCAGTATTTAATGTTGGACCCAGCAATTCCTATTATTTATAGCTTCGTGGTGGATAGTATATGGCCTGTCTATATTTAATAATAGTCAAGTTAAAGCTCCAACGGTAATTTCCTTGTCTTGTTGATTTAATTAATGAGCCTTAAATGCATGTTCATTAATAACACTAATGATGTCTTTGGTTACAATGGCCAGTTATCGTAATATACTATGGCTGGACCCTTTGTCTTGGTAATTTAGTTAATGCCCATTCGGGGAACAAAGTGTTTGATTCGCACACTTTGTCAAGCCCCGGGCGTCTGGGCATGTCGACGCCAATGTAATTCAATATGATCGGACTTACATGGTCCATTTTGCATATGGAGCTAACATATCTGCATGCGAATTATACGTGACAATTACAAGATAATTATTCATTTTTCTGGGCTGGCCGACAGCCTGGGCGTGTGCTGGATCGTGTGCTCAATAGGTCAATTGCGATCGAGGAGCACATGGCACCTAAATACTGACTCAAGAGGTTCTTCGGCCACGTTCGCCCGAGTAATTAATGTTGTAATGGACGTTTAGTAATTTATAGCTGCCAACGCGGTATGCTGATAAATCATTGGAACAATTGCCGGCGCTACCGAAACGGGAAGTCGGGCCTCTCGATCTCCGGTGCCACTCCCCGCCAGTGTGTAACCTGCACCCTCCGTTCTCCGTTTTCCGTCTGTATTCTGTATTATGCAATGGGAAACTGGTCAAGAGCCGAGGCGGCATTACCATACTGCAAGCGTAATTAAAATGCGCCCCAAGTAATGCCAATGGTTCAAGGCGATCTCAGACAGCTCAACTCCTGTTTCCCATCCCACGCGCATCTTGCACCTTCTCGAGATGCAGATGATCTTCGCACCACTCGGTTTGGCTTGTCATGGCAGCTGTGCCTCTGCCGGTGGGTTGTATTGTGGGGCGCTGAGTGGTGCAGCTGCTGGGCCAGCCAAATGGTATGCTGCAATCGTTGATCACCGATCGAGTGGTATACATTTAAAGAAAAGTATATTTAAAACATAAAGCGTGCTTATGGCGCTTGGGGATTTGAATGATAATATAGATTCATTTTATAACTGGCTTAAAATAATAAAAATACATATATAAAATTTATTATTTATTAACAAGCTATGATTGTTTGTTGCAGTGCAGAATTAACACCATGTGCATTTTTTTTACGGAATAAGCCCCTTTGGGGGCACTCAAAACAAAAGCTTAGGCTTAGTCGCGAGTTAAAGCCATCCGACATCGGGCCATACATCAGGCATTATGCCATAAGCCGTAAGCAGCTCAAGCCATTCTGCAGCAGTGTAACCGGAGAGTGGCGACTTCGCGCTAAATCGACATAATTTTGGAAAATTCTTCTATTACCCGCAAAGTCGGGGGCCACACAATGCCGGGCCGACCATAGCCGCCTGCATTCAATTACGTTTTTGGAATCAATGAACTGAAAAATTATTCAGAAAGAAATATGTATATATTTCATTCTTTTATTGGGCGGTTCTCGTTTTGGTTTCAAGTTGGCTCGCCTTATATAAAACCGATTCATATCCATTGAGTGGCAAATGCAATTTTCAATTGAAGTCTTCGGCAGTGCAACACAAGGCGTTGCATTACTGAAAGTGGAGAGGCGTGTGCGCGAGTAAGTAACCGTCTGGAGTTCTTTCTGGGACCGGGTATCCCAGGGCCAACTTTCGAAAGGGGGATCCCATCGAGCAGACCAGAGTTCTAAGCACTATTTCCCTGGAAACTATGGGTCGAAAATCGCATTACCTCCAGCATTGGCGGAATATGTTGTTCAAAGATTATTTTATATTTGAATTGTGGCTGATCTTTCAACGGGCACTCAACTTTTATGGCCACAGAGCGGCGGTACTCTAAAAATGTTTTCCATTTCACTTCAATTCAAGTAGTTCCAACATGGATACATAAATAAATAAATTGCAAGCCCAGTTCGTACCATTTGCACGCCAGTGTCTTCGACATTGGCCATCGACATCCATTCCAATACACAGTGATTATTTAATCAATAAAATGTACTGCAATTTGATTCAAAAAACCAATAAAAAAGAAGTCTGCTAAATTGCAAAAAATTTAAGTTAGATAATTTATTATTAAGACGTAAATAAAATATAATATTCATAAATTCCGACAGTGTTTCATAAGGTTGTTTATGTATGCTTTCAAATTTTAAACCAAGAAGCCACATATGCTAGGTCTAATTTTTGATTTAGAAAATCTGGTCAAGGTAATTCTTTTAGTTTCCAGTTATAAGTTCCAGTTTAAATAAAAATATAACATTTAGTTTATTTGGTTGGCTTTTTTCTCTCCGTGAGTCTATATATAAACCACTAGTAGTTTATATTTTGCGCAGTGCGTGGGCGTGGACCAGTCTCAGGGTCAACGCACCACCACCATCATCACCACCACCACCCCCAGCCCTATTGCCTAAAAACCCATATAGATCAGCACCGACGTCGCCATCTGTGTGCGCGCTGTCATAGTGGCTCTATGCTGTATTTGAATGGATGATATATGCCATACAGTTAAGTGAAATGTATCTTCGAGATACGCCAACTATGGGAGTATAGCAAATTCTTCTTACGCATGTCTCTCGATGCCGATGCCGATTCCGATTCCTGCCGCTGATTGACAGCGCAAGTAATTGAGTTTGATTTTTGCGAATTTCCAGAATTTAGACATCACCATCAGCATCGGACATCACCATCGACGATCCCATTATGCCCCCGATGCTGGCTGTGCCGGGGTGATGGGTTCGGGTTCGATCTCTAAAAAAGGTTTGTGTTTAGTTAGCCCAAATATTTGATTCGATTTGATTGAGCAGCTGTCAGAGGAACTTAAAACCTGAGCGCTTAATAATTCCAGTGGCCTTTGGAATGGCTGTCTCGGAATGGCTTTCGCTAGCCTTCCATCATTCAATCAGGATCAATATTTATCAATCAAGCGTGTGTGGGTGAGCAGAAAAAAAGAAAAAAATAAAAATAAAAGAAATAAGAGTGAATGGAACTATGTGAGCAGACATTTACGTAAAAACCTATGTATGTAGATAAATGAAAAAGCGCCGAAATGAAGGAACAACGCACGCACAAAGTCTTTAAATATACAACTCGGTGATGGCACACTCACTCAAAAATGTATGCTGCCGGGCCGGCCTAAGAAGGCTGCGCGTGTTGGACGCACGGACGGATAAACAGACAGTGCGTCTGATATCGATCATTGATCCACGCCCGATCGAGGGCCCTTCGCAACCTCTCGCCTTCCTCTCCAAACTAATCCGACTCCAAATGAATTATGTGTCTATACACGAGGGATCTCAGGCAACTACTAGTAACTATAACGTGGGGTTTCCACTATATCTACTGCCAAACAAAAAAAAACTGAATAGATGGATGCTCGTGCTGTCTAATGATCTAAATGCGTTAATTATTAAGATGCGATGTAGATCTGGAAATATACACACATAGATGGATGGATAGATAGATAGATACATTGTGGCTGGCCTGTGGTCAGCATCAGTTGCTTCCTCGTCTCGAGTGCGTTTGATCATTCACATCTGAAAGCAGCGGCAACTCTTTGAGAACTATTCCCTAATTCGGACAGCATGCTTCTCTGACTAATAGTTTTTAATTAGCAAAAGATTTTCCAAATAAAATGATTTCTGGCACATGTAAAAGTTCTTGTTTCTTGGCCATAAATTAGTTGTGAAAGTAAGGATGGTGTTTCTAAATGAATATTTAGACCCCTTCCCCATAGGGTATTCATGGGGTCGGCGTAGCGCCTTGTTTTATTTTGTATACACTTGCCTCTTGATTTTTATGGCTGTTTTGTAAGAGTTGTTGTTTTGGCTGCTGTTTAATGTTAGCTTCATTTGGCTGGCAGTTTGTTGTTGTTGATTACAAAACAAGCGTTGCATATTGCATAGTTTCTGTTTCTGTTGCAATGCAACGCCCCGTTGATGTTCGTTCTTCCCGGAATCTCCTCCGGCCCCGCATTAGCCGGCATAAGGAGGCATTGCCCACTCATTCCATTCGGACCAGGCGCGTATCTTGAGGAATTATTTTCAAATTTTTGCTTTATTGCTGCCAGAAAGCTGGCGAAATGGATTTTTAATTTCCAACTATATTTTAATTTGGCAAACGAGCTCCCTCGTCTTTTAATTGATTAATTCTTATTGCTGCTTTTGATTAAAGAAAATATTTAGTATACAATAGGGTCAATTGCTACATATGGTAATTTTGTGTGGAAGAGTTCTGGAGCGCTTCGTTACTATTTTTGTCCACTGACGCGATCTGTAGATTGATCTTGACCCACATTGGCCAATATCCAGCAGATGTCGCAAATGTTTGTAGGCTTTCCAGTTAGATATTGTATAACAGGGAGCTTAATTCTTTTCTTGTTAAATGGATCAAATATATATGTATAACTGTTATTTTCTATTTTCTTATTTTCTATATCTCTCATGGAGCAAAACCTCAACTTTCTGCTCAACTCAACCTCAACTTCACATACAAACAAAACAGCAGAAACCCTTTTCATGACGTTCTTCTCCTTAGAATGGATGCTTTTGACACTCTTTATGGCCTCTTATTAAGCCAATATTTACATTTAGGGCTGACTGACAGTGATTTGACGACTAATGTTAGCTTTACTTTCTTCTTTTTTATAAAATTGAGTCATTTAACAAACGATTGGTCACTTGGTTCCAAAGTTACACAGAATCTTTATCAACCTGCCATAGTGTTTTCCAAATTGTAAAGATAATACCCCATCTTGTATATTATTTTGTAAAGCTTATCCGGATACTGTGGTATGTTAACTCTCCAAATCTGAAAATATGTTTTTGTAAAAATTTTGTAAATATGTTTTTGTAAATAGAATTTTAATTTATTGCATTTCCCATGAATAAACAATTTCTGACGAATAAACTTAATTTCTTATGAACAAAATATATGCCCTTAAATTAATATTAAGATGCTGTATTTTGCTTAAGCGTATTTTCCAATGATTAAAATATGAGTTAGTTATGAGACTATCAACTAAATGATTTTTAAGCTTAATTTCCATTGAATAATATAAGTACATTCATACATATGTACATATGAGTCTTAAATGAGTAAAAGGTTAGTCTATCACTTTTTCATATCAGACCACATGGCCTTGAAGAGATTGCCGAAAATTGTTACTAGGCTAGCATCAGATTTATCTTCCCAGAAAACCTCTCCTACTTGGACCGCTGTCCAAATCTTATGCTATCTTATCTATGTACTTTTTTGGAAAGGGAAAGTCATTTCAAGAAAGGTTAGAGAACCTTTTTATTACCAAACGAAATAAAGCTTGCAAAAAAGGTAACTTAAGAGAGTTTGGTCCGCTCTTTTAAGCCTCTCACGCCGAGAGGCTTTCTGTGCTCTCGGCCGCTCTTTTTTCGTTTCTCGGCTCTAATTCGGATTGGATCGGATGAGATCGGCTGTTTGTGTGCTGTTGTTCTTGTTGCTGGGGACTTCCTGGGGCACTCACATGGCACCGTATTAGCCACGGGCCTTAGGGACCAGATCAGGGATCAGAGGAATCGCACATCCCCATCTGTAGGACTGTATACACGCCATATCATATGTACATATAGAGTCTTCCGAAAAGAGAGATACTTTTTGCTTTTGCCGGGCCAGCGAATGTTCATATTGTATATACTCATGAGCGTTTTTATGCTTATTCAGTCGCGAGTCGACTGTCGAGCGAGTTATAGCATTTGGATTCTTCTCTCAGGTTCGCTGTTTGTTTGCGCGCGGGGCTCTTTTTTGGCAACTTGACAACTCGCCGATGATAGTACGATATCAATCGCGATTCCGAATTCGATTAAGCTTAGATTACGTATCCGGCCCGTGGGCTTTAGTATTCTTTTGTTCCGAAGTGATCGTGGTGCGGCGCGAGTGTTCTTGCTAACTTTGAGGCCAACCTTCGCAAACGCCAGAAGGCAAAAAGCCGAAACGCCGAAAAGCCAAATAACCAAAAAGCCACAAAGCAGCCAGCAACGCTGCAGCCAGCAAATCGTCCAAAAAGAAAGCCAAGCCGACCCAGAATGCCAAAGGTGACTAAGTTAATGGTGCAGCGGCTCGAAAGTGATTGCATTCAGGGCGTTTCAACTAAAACGATGTGTGAAGTTTAAAACTGCTCAACGAACATTGGCGATTTGTGGAGATTAAATCCGAAATTATGTACAAAGCTCTATAGTAGTAGCATGTAGATACACTATCTTAGTTTATCTATTATATATCTTAGTTTATCTCAGCACACAGATGCTGCCGCGTTAGTTAGTCCGTGTACGAACGAACGAGCCGTTACTTAATTTTTTCGGCGGGTGCGTTGCTCACGGCTACGGAACGGAACGACACGATACTGTCGCATTTCAATTAACAAAATAAGCAAAGAGCCAAAGAGCCAACACACAGATACACACGCATACGCATACGCACGCGCCTACGAATACATACAAACGTAGGAAATAAACGCACACGCACACTGAGTGGATTGTGAATCGATTTCGCGCGCATTTTTGCACGTGCCACCAGCGCCATCGCCATCGCCACCGGATAACAGATCAGTGACGATAGTGGTGGCACAGACTTTTAAATGGAACTTCCGGATCCGCTCTGTCCCGTCATGTCCCTGCCGCAGTCCCACGCCACACCCACGGAGGGCGCCAAGGAGGCCAAGGAGGCTTTATCCGAAGCCGAAACCGAGGCAGAGGGAGATCGACTGCTGGACAATTACTACCCTGCCCCCTACGCCAGTGCCACTGCCACATTGCGCTCGACGGCGTCCGGCCGAAGCAATCTAACCAGCAGCACGATAGTCTGCGAATCCCCCGGGGCTGTTGGGGAGGCGGATGACGGCTACTTCGACGGCAGCGAAGATGGCAACGAATGCTGCCGACGGTCGGCAAACGACCTTGACGATACCGTGCTGCGGTACTCCCTCAAAGGCCCGCCCCCCGAGCTCTACTCACCCAAGAAGGAGTTCATCTCCAAGGGACCGATAGCGGATAGACAGGTAGGTGTTTCCGTTTCAAGCCTCGGCCACCTAGCCACGGACGGCCGCCTTTAATTTCGTGGCGTGATGTCCAGATCTCGGATTCTCGGGCTTACTTTTGTTGTACAATATGTTTTATATTCCATTTATTTTGGTTTTATTCGGCCGTTCAGTTTTCCTTTTTCGTTTTATTTCTTTTTTTTTATTATTTATTTATTTATTTTTATGTTTTATCGAAATCGGCTGGCGAAGCGAAAACCAAATTCAAGTTAATTTATTGCATTGATTCCACATCGATGTGCCGAGTTCTTTCCTTTCTTTTATAATTTCGCTTGATTTGTCGATATTTTGGTGTGCTTGTCTCGTTTTTGTATGCCACATTGTTTCAGTCTATTTTACTTTGTTTTATTTTTATTTGTTTTATTTTTTGCCTCCCTTTTCGATTTTGATTAAATGCCGCGGCTCGCGGGGAGCCAAAGAAAGCGTCGTCGCTTTTGGACATCGCATTTGAATTCACACGCTTCACTGCACACCCGGCAACCGAAAAAGTCAACATATCGTCGATCCAAGCTCAATTTTGGCGAATAATTTTTGGACAATTTTTGTCGAGGCAATTGAACCGAAAGCGACAGCGGCTCATTATCAACTGCAACCGAAATTGATATGCAGACGGGATCATAACAATATGTTACATTACCCATTAGGTGGTTTTATGATCCCCAGTTTATGAGTCACAGCCGTAGCATCGTTTTCATGTACGTCAGGATGGCGATGTTTTGGCCTGCTGACTCTTGACGTTTCCGCAGTTCTTGTCATCTTCAGAGAACTCTTTCTGCATTAGATATATAATATGAAAAAGATAAAAATTTTGATAGCTCTGAAGGTGTTAGTTTACAGTAACTCTGGAGCTTACTAGAGATAATAGATAAAACAAAAGTAAATAGAAAGTGGGTTTGATAAATATTTATATCCGTTCCTTGTGGAGTTCAATGGTAAAATTTACAATGCCTGCAAATGTGTGTTACTGGCAGATTTATTAGTATTAGAAAAAGATTAGATATACCCGTAAAAAAATTTAAAACAAAATAACGTTCGAGTTTATACAAGATAAGTATTAAGAAGAGTATCCAACATTTCTAGTTATAGGTTTATTTTCTGGTACTTGAATCTATTTGTCAAAAAAATGCGGAAAATGTCACTAATTTGGGAGGAATTTCATACAAATGATGCACTTGAAAGGGGTAATGTCATTTTTACAAGCTGCATGCTTTTGTCAAACCGTTTTCACACTGCATATAATTAAGGCTTTTACAATAAGCCAACGGACGGGACGTGACAGCAACAAATAAAGAAACAAGCTAGAAACATGACATTGGGAGGAAGGGGGCCATTTGAATTTTATCAGCGTCTACCCAGGCGGGAAAACGTATGTTAAATTACGGAAAACAACACGCACCGAATGCGCTCGGACGGAGTTCATGAGTAAATACATGCTGGATGCTCATTAGGAAGTCTAAAAGCTAAGCTCTGCTGATAACACAGTCCACTGGTGGCCATGTGTAATGTTCTAACCCCCTGGGATGGAATCGCTGGTGGAATGGGAAGTCAATGAGTTTGCTGACAGCTGCCAATATAGGCTATACTATAGTTTATAAGGCACGGCGCTTTAAAGTATTCGGGCACATGAAAAATTGTGACATTTTTCAGTTTATTCTGTTATTTCTTATTTTTTTTGGCGCCTTGGATCTGTCGGGTCGTGAGATACTTGCTGTAAGTATTGTAAACTGTATTGTACAAGATGAAATTTGCACAATGTCTAGAATTTAAATATTTATTTATTTAATTTTTTCCTTTTTGAATTTTTATTGTTTTGATTTTTTTTTGTTTTTGTTGGTGAGTCGTACGTCGTCGCCTTGCGCGTGTTTCTTTGTCCCCTCCGGTTTCGGGTTATTTATTTTGTCTTCAATTTTGAATACCCGGTACTTGGGGACTAGAAGGGTATATTAAATATTTGAGAATTTTAAGAGTCCTCCTGTTTATGTAACGTCGGACAAGCCAAACGAGCCATGACGAAAAGTATGCTATTCAAATTTTTAAATGTGGATTGGGTAGAGAAAGAACTACCGGGTATCATATAGTCGAAAGATTCGACTTCTTAGAGCTTTTAATTTTTTTTCCTCTACTTTAAATAAAAATGAAGACAACTTTTGGCGTTCATTGACATTAAAAATAAGAAAAGTAATGAAAAGGAAACGGTGTGCTCACATTTCTGAAATCGAACGTTTGTCAATGGCCCAAACTTACGAAACTTGGCGAAAAATCCTCCTATACATACGTGTGGGTGTTGACGAATTGCTGGGGTGGTGGCGACTGCCAATTCCATCCAAGAAACTGGATGATGTATCACAGACCCGGCGGTCTGGCCTCGGAGACTACGTGTAATGATCATCAAATATTCTGCTCGGCTATCGCTGATGAAAACGATACAATACCAATCTGTATGGCCATTTGTATGCTAATTTTTAGGGCGTGCCCCGGCAGCCCTTCGTCTCGAATAGCCGGGGTGACAAATAATTTGTCAGAATAATAATGCCTTCCAGTAAAGAGCCACAAAGGCAAGCGAAACAATAACCAAAAGCCACAAAATAATTTCAAGTAAAAAGCCAAAAAAAAACCAAATAATTTTAAGTGTGATGCCGGGGCGTGACTTTAGGGTGTTCACAGTATGTTGTTCGGAGTTGCTTTCAGAGTTCACAGTATTTTATTTTGAATTTAATTTATATATATTTTTTTCGGCAAAAGATAGTTACGTGATCTGCATACAAGACCGAAGACCCGCATCCCCCGCCCCACCCTTGGAGCACCACCCACGTTCCCGAGAATCTCAAAGTCCCCAACTACTTATTTTCTAGCTTACAAAAACTGTCAAAATGATGAAAAAATGCTTATAAAAAATGGGAATAATCTTTATGAAATAGTCGAAACAGTTGTACTCTACTTAGTGGTAATTTATTGTTCTTCTTAGCAACGGAATAAAATATTCTTTGAGAATAGAATCTTTATACATACCCCCTTTAAATGTTTAAAATTTTGGATATCAAGAGAAGAGTATAAGAAAGATGTGGTAAAGCCAGGCCTGACAAGTGATTGCTCATTTTAATTAATTCTTTTTTAATTTATCAGTCAAGATTAATGTGAAACATGTTCAATCTGGCTAGAAGTTGGTTTTCGAAACCCAAATCGGTATTGGCCTAGCCGGGGTTTTTGAGTTAATAATTTAAATATGGATTTAAGCGGCCTTTTTCAGCGGGGTATTAGCATAATTGGTGGCCAGCCAGTGTCCATCCCCGGCTTCCAAGCCAATCCACTCAAGGCGAAAACACCTTTAATAATTATCTATCCAATTTTTCTTCACGTTCATTCGATGTTTCAGTTTGTGTCTTTGCTGGTCGCAGGTCGTGAATGAATTTTTCAGCAAATTATTTGAATTTTTTTGGTAAATAAAAATTTGTTTAACTGCCTTGTTGGCTTACATCAAAAGCCAGAACCGCCCATCAAGCACAAGCTGGTTTCTATTCAACCTGATTGTCTTTGGGGCCTATCTCAACGCTTTATTCGGTGTTTAGTATGCCCCAGCCCGGCCATACATAGTAGGACAGGTCGGAGGAGCCTGAGACGAAGTTACCTGCCTCTCTGGCTATCTTAATGATTTTTTATTTATTTGCTGCCATTTGTTGTGAGCCGTCTTATCGCATTTGTGACCATTTCCAGCCAGAGCGTGTAACATAACTTTACATAAATCCATTATATTTTATTTTTAACGACACTCTTTTAATTATTTCGCCCTGGCGGCGGTGGCATCATCATCGATCCCATCTTCACGGTCAAGGCAGCCAGACAGCCAATGCTGGATCATCGGAGCATTATCGATACTGTCGCTTTGCATTTAAATTTTGGGGATCCAAGACGAGACGCTAGAAGTCGACTCGAGACGAGACGAGACGTGAGTGAAGATACTCTTTGGGGCGGTCTTTATTCATATGCTAAACTCCTCCGAATTCAGAAGTCAGAAGTGGTTTAGCTGGGCCGACGGGCTCGGCATTTATTTAAAAGCAATTTGAAAACCTTGGGGCACATCATCACTTTATCATTAAACGCGAATGGGTGCAGCAGCATAAGCTGGACGCAGCCAGCAGTCTAAATACAAAAAGAAAAGGTTCCCTAATGGCATCGTTTTATTGCTTTATTCTTTTTCTGTTGATTTTTATTAATATTTCAACCAGGAGGATTGGGATATGTTTTGTTTAGGTCTGCCTTTGTTTCGATTCCTTGGAATTAGACGAGGCATTGCGGTTCTTGTGGCCGCGATCTATGCAGGGTGTTATTTATATTCTTATTGGGGTATAGCTTGATTTATGGGACAAGTGATGTCGTTTTGATTACGCATCAAGTATACGCCCAGTGGGTCCCAGTCGGTACCCTTGCAGTTTCTGTCAGTTCGATGGAAAAACTCAGCATTCCCATTCCCATTCCGATTCCGATTCCCATTCCCATTCTTCTGGGAAGCCCAGTGCTCAATAGATACCTGACATTTATAAATATAACGTATAATCGCATTATTGCCACACGCCCTCTGTTTCTTTTTGGTGAAATCGAATATTGGCGAATCAAATGCCAGCCTCAGGGCATTTGTTTAACGGTTTCGACAACTAAGCGGCAACTAGAAACAAAACAGATCGCAATTTGCATACGAAATCAATTCGGAGTCATTAATAAATCGACCTGTTTTATTTATTATTTATTTACATTTCGCTCGTCGCTTTGGTCAAATATATTTCCGCATTTAAGCATCGTATCCGATTTGTTAGCGGCAATAGCCCAGCCATAAATTTGTTGATTTGTTTGTAACGAGCAGATAAATCGTCTTGCCCCACCACGCCACAGTTTTTTTATTATCATTGATCCCTTTGGAAAATGATGTTATTGTTGAACCTTTAAAAATAAACAGCAGTGGGCAATTT